GCACTCACGGGATTTCCAGTCTGGCCACTCACAGAGGGTCAGATTAGGTAATCATATCTCTTCAGCCCTTATTCTTAACACTGGTACATCACAGGGTTGCGTGTTGAGTCCCTTATTCTATACTCTTTATGTGCATGACTGCATTCCCACTCACGCTAGTAATACTATTACTAAATTTGCAGATGATACAACAGTGGTGGGACTCATCTCCTGGGGGGATGAGTCTGCCTATCGAGATGAGGTGGACCGGTTGCTTTCATGGTGTGGAGACAATAACTTGGTCCTCAATACCAATAAGACCAAGGAGCTTATAGTGGACTATAGAAGGAACAGATCAGACATCCAGCCCTTGTTATCAGTGGAGGCCGAGTGGAGCAAGTGGCCAGTTTTAAGTTTCTGGGTGTTACCATAAAAGAGGACCTGACCTGGGGTGCTCACATTGCAGCCCTGGTCAAAAGGGCCCAGCAGAGATTATACTACCTGAGACTTCTCAGAAAACAACAACTGAATGAAAAACTACTGGTGACCTTCTACTGCTGCACCATAGAGAATATCTTAACTTACTGCACCTTTGTATGGTTTGCCAATTGCACAGTGGCAGATAGGACAGTGCTCCAGAGGGTTGTCATTGCCCAGAAGATCATTGGTTGCCCCCTCCCCTCTTTGGAAGAGCTTTATAGCTCCCTCTGCCTTAAGAAAGTTCAAAACATTCTCAAAGATCCATCTCATCCTGGGCACCTTTTTTTAAAAACTATTACCATCTGGCAGATGGTACAGAATAATAAAAACAAGGACAAATAGGCTGAAAAACAGCTTCTATCCCAGGGCAGTAACTCTATTGAATTCTACTGTATGGTGCAGTGTTGGTGTGGTGTTGGGGTTTTCAATTCAATGTGTGGAGTGTGAAGGATGTGTGTTTGTGTTTATTTTCATGGTCATGATGTGCACTGAAGATGGTGTTTGATTTCATTGTATGACAATAAAGTAAAGTAAGTAAACTCTGCAAACATTTCTATGTTCCTTGCTTCTAGCCCATCCTATGAGGTAGGCAAGATAAAGCAACAGGGCTGTTAAGTGTTTTGAAATGTGCTATATTGCAGTTATCTTCTTGTAACATTCTTGAAAGCCTGCTAAAACTTCAGTTTATACCCAATACAAAAGGTGGAATTGTTTTGAGTTTCTTTCAAGACTTACATGGATTTGTGATAGTCTGGACATAATCCTGACCCTTTTCTGAATCAAATTTTCATTCCATCACACATATTAACCAGAGTTCTCTGTTCAAATTATAAAGTTATTAAAATTTGTGAAATCATAAAACCATGTACAAAAAGCAATGAATAACACTGTGAATATATATACTGTATGCAGGCCATCCAAGAGCAGAACAGGACTTTCAAAGAAAACTGATTTCCCACCTGAAAACCATCACGGATCCATTGTTAGATCCCATGCAGTTTGCATACTGAGCAAATAGATTGACAGATGCTGCTGCTAATATGGCTCTGTACTACATCCTACAACATCTTGAATCTCCAAATACCTACGCAAGGGTCCTCTTTGTAGACTTCAGTTCAGCATTCAATACCATTATTCCAGACATTCTTCTAACTAAACTAAACCAGCTAGCGGTACCTGAACACACTTGTAAGCTTCCTAACAGACAGGAAGCAACAGGTGAAGCTAGACAGAATCACATCTGATACCTTTAGCACAGGGCCCCTCCAAGGCTGTGTGCTTTCTCCACTTCTCTTCTCCCTATATACCAATGACTGCATCTCAAACGATCCATCTGTTAAAATATTGAAGTTTGCAGATGACACAACAGTGATTGGTCTCATTTGAGACAACGACAAATCCGCATACAGATGGAAGGTTGTATAACTTGGCTCATGGTGTAACCGGAACGATCTGAAACTGTACACACTCAAAACCGTAGAAATGGTAGTAGACTTTAGGAGAAACCCTCCCATACTAACACCTCTTACAATAATACTAGACAACACAGTATCAACAGTAAAGACCTTCAAATTTCTAGGTTCTATCATATCACAAGACCTAAAATGGACACCTAACATCAAAAATGTCATCAAAAAAGCAGAACAAAGAATGTTCTTTCTGTGCCAACTCAGAAAGCTCAAACTGCCCAAGGAGCTGCTGATACAATTCTACAGAGGAATTATTGAGTCTGTCATCTGCACCTCTATAACTGTCTGATTTGGTTCTGCAACTCAACAGCACAGACACAGACTTCAGGGGATAATTAGGACTGCAGAAAAAACAATTACCAACCTGCCTTCAATTGAGGACCTGTATTCTGCACAAGTCAAAAAGATGAATGTATCTTTTTTTTTATGTACATGAGAGCATTTCCACCAAGACAAATTCCTTGTGTGTCCAATCACACTTGGCCAATAAAGAATTCTATTCTATTCTATTTGAAAGTAAAATTAATGCATTAGAAAGAGGCATATCTTTCCAGGCACTGACAAGATACAAACAGCAAATGGGCTTCCCTGCCCCCCATTCCTAAGAAGGGATTCTCTCCTCACCTGCAGGAGAGTCTCCAACAGGAATGAAAGAACCCGAGCAGATACCTAAAGAAAAAACTTCTGGTCCCAAGCTGTTCAGGGCTTGAAGAACTAGCTTCGGATGGGAATTAGGCCAAGGAAGGAATGGGCACCCAGAGCCGTTAGAAGAACCCTAAAGTGATACAGTTCCAATGGACAGCAGCCTCCAGCTCTATTTCAAACTAGCTGAAGGTGAAGTGTCCTCAGAGGGAGTCACACCCTGCAGCTTTCCAGCTGAGAGTTTATCTGGTGCTGGGCCATCTCTGCCAAGAAAGAGTGGCAGCTCTAGGGAGAAGATGATAAAAGTTTTCCTCAACATCAAGACCACCTGAGACAAGCATGGCAAGAGGAGCACAATTCTTCCTGGAAAAGGCTGAACACTATCCAGATGAATATTTGGGCATTCCACCAACTATTTCTGTCTTGTCTGACTTTGTTTCAATGGTCCCAGTCTCACCCAGTTATTCTCAGGCACCAGCTCAAGACATAAATGCTCATAACTCCCTTTTTATGATCCTGTAATCCCTTAATTCGGGGTAGAGTTGAGCTGGCTGGATGGAGAAGAAAAGCAGAATACACTATAAGATCTCCCACAGCCTGTTGAACCTCAGCCTGAAAAATGTCATGCCATTGAGAGAGAACTATTAATTCCTCAGCATCATCTTCTGGAAACAACCAGTAACACAAGAGGAAAATTAAACAATGGAGTTAGCCTTCCCTAACTCCAATGGACTGGAGGAACTCCACAATTAAAGTCATTGAAGGCGCTAAGTGTTAACAGAATAAAAGAGTAGCAGATTGGAAAGGACATTGGAGGTCTTCTAGTCCAACCCCCTGCCCAGGCAAGAAATCTGGCCTATTATCATTTCGGATAAACAGCTGTCCAATCTCTTCCTAAAAGCCTCCAGTGTCAGATCACTCCCCACTTCTGAAATGGTTCCAAAAGAATAAGCAAGGATTCCTGTAGAATCAACAAAGCCATGTATTCTGGGAGCTACTTTTCTTTAGTCCCTCCTCGGGATTCTGATTCCTCAGCTGCTGTAGTTCTTTAAATTCTTTCTCATCTTGAATAAAGAGGGGCACTGTGCTGTCCAGACAGTATATAGTTGATTGGGAATTGGGAGCTGTCCCCTTAAGGGAATGCCTCATGGGGAATGTTGTTAATGCCTCATGTGAAATGTAGTTCATGTCATGTGGTCACATCTGTAATCCTGATTGGTCACTGAATTGACCCTTGGTTGGGTTGGGGGAGTTTCCTTTATTCGTGCTTGGACCCCAGCATCGTGCTGGTGTCCTTCCCTTTGCTCCATCATTATGGGATGAAGATATCTTTTCACACTATGAAGACAACTATGCAAAGTTTGGACATTAGATGAATGTCAATGTAACTATGAGTTATAACTTTGAGGATGCCTGGTGTGATCCAATAAAGAAACTTTGTACGGAAGCCTTTGTACAGTTTATCTAACTGTCTTTATATTCAGCCAGCAATTTAAAGACAAAACAGGCACCTTTGATCAAGGTTCATCGTTCGTCACCTTTCTGGTGTTCCTAGGGTTTTGCCTTAATTTTCTTTCACCAGGCCTTTCAGATATCCCCAACTGCAGAGTGAGGTACTGAAGGGATAGAGCTCCTGAGAAGGCTGGAGGTCCCGCTAAGCAGTTGTTTGTGTAGAGGGGGACATTCACAGCAGTTCAGCAACTCATCTTTCAGTGTCCTTTTAAATAAAAGATCATGTGCTCTTTATTTTTTTCATGCATGAACTCTGATTACAGGAGACCAATTAATGGGGCAAAGGGCAGCATCCTTTTTTCTCCTGTGATTTAGGAAGAAAAGCAATTTTATGTTCTTCAGAGCAACCTTTGATAGAACCTTTTATTCTGGGCTTTTATATTTTTCATAGAATGTATGCATATGTGTCTTGGGGATGCTTGGGAAAACCAGTCAAAAGCTAAACAATTAGCCTCACTATTGCTTGTAATCATGGCTTGTCTTATACCTGGTGGGTTGAACTGATGTTTAGCCAACCGATGGTTCTCACAAAAGAAGCTTCCTTCTTCTGCATTCTGACATGAGGTTGACCAAGGCTTCAGTGGCATTTAGCAGAGGTTAGACACAAACACTTTCTTGTCACTTTCAAAACTTGCCCATAGCAAGCATTCACATAGCTCGGGGCTGAACTGCTGGATTCTTGATGCTAGGGCTAAGCTTAGGCTGGCAATGCTGCTGTTGACTGGCCTGGTGATGAAATATCTGCAATAAAGCAATCAAACTCAAAGAGAATCAAGAACTGAGCTACCCAATTCACTTTATCCATTTTATAAGAGCTTGAAGTTTTATTCTATATACAAAAAACAGGTACCATTGTCCATGACAGACCTAAATTGGTTTAATTTGCATGGGAACTAATCCTACCTCCTTGTGCTTCAGGTAACCCTGTTACTGTCGGAATGAGCATCCATATTTCGAGCATTGATCAGATTTCTGAAGTGAATATGGTGAGTATAAATGACAATAACAAAATCATTATTTTGTGGAATTCCATCTCATGCAACCAATTGAGCAAACCCAATTTGAATTGAAGAGAGAGTCATTAATGTTATTACTGGCTTCACTTGCAAACAGTGTTTGGCCAGAAGTGAGGTATACCAGAGCATGGGGAATGCACAAGTATGCATTCAAACATGGGTATAGTGTATGGATTTCCAAAGAACAGAATAGAATAGAAATAGAATGGAATGGAATAGAATGGAATAGAATAGAATAGAATAGAATAGAATAGAATAGAATAGAATAGAATAATAGAATAGAATGGCAGAGTTGAAAGGACCTTGGAGGTCTTCTAGTCCAACCCTGCTCAAGCAGGAAACCCTATACCGTTTCAGACAGATGTTCTTTAAAACTTACAGTGTTGGAGGATTTACAACTTTTGGAGGCAAGTTATTCTACGTATTCTACGTTCCTGATCAATTGTTCTAACTGTCAGGAAATTCCTCCTTAGTTCCAGGTTGCTTCTCTCCTTGATCAGTTTCCACCCGTTGCTTCTTGTCCTGCCCTAGGGTGCTTTGGAGAACAGCTTGACTCCCCCTTCTTTGGGGCAACCCCTGAGATATTGGAACACTGCTATCATGTGATATTGTATACAGAAAATATACTATTTAATGCCATGCTTATGCCCTGATAATTATTTTCAGCAAATTCTATTTTATCCTGATGGCAAATATCATACAGAAAAATACTTTTGAAATTTGACAGAAAAATCTATCTTCAGTTAATAAATGGTCTTCTATTGTATTGACAGCCAATGAAGTACTACCTTCATCCTACTGTTTTTTGCTCTTGTGAAATTCAGTGCACTGAATTCAGTGTGGAGACTTGTTAGAATCTACTATCCTCTGGGTGGGGCTAGAATAGATGCGAAAACTCCATCCCATAAACTTGTTGGAAAGCTTTGCATGCTTTGCCAAATGAAGCTCCTCTCTGCAGAGGGATCCACAACCAGAGGACTTGGTCCAACGAAGAGGCAGTCAGAAGTCCTATTCATTCTGCATTGAGATTTTCTGAAAAGTCTTAGATATCTATGGAACTAGAAGTAATAATTTTTATATACTGATATGAGAATGTGTTGATCATCTTTTCTTGACTTGGATGTCCTTTCAAAGCTAGATAAAACTCCGTATGTTTTTTCTGAGCTTCCTAGTTTATAGTAGAAGGGAATAAGGACTAGTCCTACTTTTACAGACTGTCCCTAGATTTCAGTCACAGGAAGATGTGGAAGTCCAACTTCTGACACGGCCTTAACATAGCAGTCATTATAGTATATTTAGAGACTGAGTCTGAAAATTATGCAGATTCAAAATGTTGAATCCCTTCCCCTTTCATCTGAATTTGTACCTAATTCCATCACAGGTGGGATGTTTTTAACAAAGATCAGCTTTTAAACCTTAATCTTAACTGATTTGTGAAAAATATTTACAAGTTCAGATCCAGCTAATAAGGCAGAAATGATTGGTTGATGGCAGAGTTTCTTTTTAATGATGTTAGATGCTAATGTGATTGACTTGTCTTTTATGGAGTACTACAGTGGACACTGAAAAACCACAAACTCCAAAAGGGAAATTCTGCAACTTCTTATTGATTGCAAAATGATTCATTCCATGACCAGATCTACTGAGAGCAAGCACAAATTCATTCTGGCCACTGAGGATGCAATGATAGGAGAAGAGCTGTGCTTTATTTTGAATGGAACAGTTCCTTCACTGGGGCAAAACAGGTTAAAATATTTCATTTGAATGGGAGAGCCTTGCTTCTGTGTTGTCTTTTTAAAAGTGAAGGACACCTTTTTAAAGATGAAGGCACTTTCACAAAATAATGAGGTGTTCAGTTGAGAGGGATGCTGGTCTGAAGTTGTTCCATAACTAGTTCTTGTTTCTCATGAAAGGTATGGTTGATCTAGATCTTCCTGAAGTGAGAAACCTGAAATGGAGTTTTGGATAATGGGAAGAATAACAAAGTTGGAAGGGACCTTGGAGGTCTTCTAGTCCAACCCTCTGCTTGAACAGGAAACCCTACACCATTCTGGACAAATGGCTGTTCATACTCTTCTTAAAAAAAACCATTCCATTGATTAATTGTTCTCACTCTCAGGAAATTTCTCCTTTGTTCTAGGTTGGATCTCTCCTTGATGAGTTTCCATCCATTGCTTCTTGTCCTGCCCCCAAGTGCTTTGAAGAATAGGTCCTCCCTCTATTCTTTGTGGCAGTGCTTCAAATATTGGAAACTGCTATCATGTCACCCCCTAGTCCTTCTCCTCATTCGCCTAGACATATATAGTTCCTGCAATTGTTCCTTGTATGGTTTAGCTTCCATGAATGTAGCTCTTCTCTGCACTCTTTCTAGAGTCCCAACTTCTTTTTGTATTGCTGTGATTAAAACTGGATGCAGCCTTCCAAGCCTGGTCTAACCAAAGCAGATAAAGTGGTACTAACATTCCATGTAATCTTCGTATTATCCCTCTGTTGATGCAGCCTAGGACTATGTTGGCTTTTTGGACACAAATGTGTGTTGTGATGCAAACACTCTCTTGACTTAGCTGTGTGTGATGTCTTGATGAAAATACAAAAGGATGGAGTTGTGATGTCACAATACAGCTGCCTCAGTGGAAATGTTGCGATATTAGCCTAAAATGAGCATATGCTAATTCTTGAAATCCTACTTCCAGATTTAGCAGGAAGCTAAATCACATATGCAGCTCTAATCTTTGCAGGGGGATCTTTCCATGTGGAAAGATCCTACAGAAGATTCAGCAGAGCTTCTCTCCTGCTCTCGGCATTCTGGGCTTGGCTTTAGCCTTAGACACCAGGTAGCCTCAAACTGTACCCTAAAAAGGAAGGCGGACAGTCATTGTAAGGCCAGGTTGGTAAAACACCTTGCGGCCTAGATGGCCAGCAGGATGCCCCTCCCCCAATAAAAGGGAGGGCCACAAACCTTCCTATCTAGACAGATGAGGTCCTAAGAAGGTGGTTCAAGGAAAGGAGCTCATAAGAATCTCTTCTTTAAGAATCTCTTTGCTTCTCTTCTATAATCTTTCCCACTGATGGTCTCTGTCATTTCCTATGGCGACAAAATCAATTGTCTAAATATACCTTGAGAAAGTGACTTCCTTGGATATGCTACATATCATGGGTGTCCAACTTTTGGCTAGCTAGAGCGAAGAGGAATTGTCTTGGTCTGTGTGTAAAATATACAATATACTTAATATATATTAACCCCATACAATCCCAGTACCCAGTAAAAAGCGATGTCAAATTGCTGCAGGATGTGGCTGCTGCTGAGTGATGGATGGGGGGCCACCAGGTGCAGCAGAGGCTTAATCTTGTACCGTGAGGCTAGGAGTTTTTGCAGCCTCCCTCACAGGGTGCCAGTTGGGCTGAGTTGCTATGGTGACAGGCTAGCTTGGATCGCTGCGTGTTTCTGATCATAGGATTAATTAATCTCACAGTGTTGCTTCAGCAGAGAAGTTCCCTTGAAGCAGAGGGTTAAAAAAGAAGCAAATTCAAATTAATTTTGCCAGAGAGTTTATTCAATGACATGGCTGAATTCCTGGCCCATAATATTTCTATACGGTAGTCCTACAGCCTTTTTACAATGGTTAATTTAGTGACCATTCAAAGTTACAGCAGCACCGCTGTTGTAAAGTGACATGACCATTTTTCACACTTACGACCGTTACATGATAAAAATTTGGTCACATGATAAAAATTTGAACACATAGCAACTGATTCATACTTATGATGGTCAGAGTGTCCCGGGGAGTCACGTGATCACCTTTTGTGATCTTTTGACAATCAAAGTCAATGGTGAAGCAGATTCTCCTACAACCATTTTACTAACTCAACAACTGCAGTTTCACTTAACAACTGTGGCAAAGAAGGTCATAAAATGGAGCAAAATTCACTTAACAACTATCTCATTTAGCAACAGAAACTTTGGGCTCAATTGTGGTTCTATTGTATTAGATTCCTCTCCTGCGTTTCATTCAGGAACAAAAGGCCAGGGAGCCGGCATGCCTTCCTCCAGCTTCCCCATAGCCTCCACTGCCGCTCGGTGAGAGTGATTGGCATCAAGGTACCCTGTGAGTTTTAGGGGCCAGAACTCTTTACCCCCTTGCCCACCGCATCACATCGGTTACCTGTCTCTCAGAATTAGCTGGGTAAGGAGGGAGGCCCCACACCCCACTTCTCTCATGCAGGCTTGAAGGTCCAGCCTACATCAAACCCCAAGGCTGCAACCCAGGACCTAGAAGAGGAGGGGGTGTCCTGGGAGCCTCAGTCCTGCACCATTCAGTTGAGTCCCCCCTTCCCCTCTCCAATCAAGAAGCTGGAAACTCATTTCTGAGACAGCACGCCTAGGCAGCAAACTGGGTGGCCATGTATGGGTCTCTTTGGGTTTCATGGTGTTTTTGACATACCTGGGCTGCAAAACTCCTGGCGCTCATTATACATGGCACAGAGGCCGGCTACTCAAGGTGCTGTCTGTGCCCTACAGTACTTACCTATGATGCTCTTTGGAAACCACCTGTTCTTTGGCATGAATGAGAGGATAGGGTAGCAGTAGACCATGACGTGTCCATTGGGTTGGTTAGAAGCCCCTGTTTATTTTTAAAGTTAGATTTATTTCCCACCTCTTCTCCAAGGGCAATTGATACAGTTATATTCTTGTATCCCCTAGAGCCCCTCTGTGAGGTAGGACAGGAAGGAGGACCTGTCCAAAGTCTCCCAGGGAGGTTCAATGGCCATGGGGAACTTGAATCTGGCTCTCCTTAGGGCTAGTCCAACACCCTCCCACTCTGCCACGCTTAGCAATGTGAAGGTCCTATTGAGACTTAGGAGCAGGGAATTGTTAAATCTCCTTACTGTCCCCCCTTAAGTATTCTTCTTACATGTGTGCATGTTTGGAAGTGCTGCTGCTGTAATAGCTTTCCCTGGGACATTGGTTGTGCTGCAGAGCATGTCTGGAAGCCAGAGAGGCCCTGGGTAAAATATAACTCAGAGGGGGGTGGGGGTGGGGAACACGTGTGTGCATGTGCACTTGGGAACTGTTCTGCTGTTGGGGCAGTCAGTTCAGAATGTTGGTCTCACTCCAAATGCATTTGTGATTTCCTTCTTTCTCTTCTTTTGTTCTTGCCTGCCAAGTGTGAGGAAGGGGAGGCTTGGTGAGGGGAGGGAGCCCTTAGGAACAGGACAAAGGGATGTAATAAGATTATGCAGCCCCTTCTTGTTAGGTGGCCCCAGGACAGGCTTAGGCACCTTCATCTTGGAGCACTGCTTCCTTCCATGCAGAAGGCTTGGCCGTCACCTGGAGCCTGTAGATGGGTTGGGTCAGGCAGGCATTCTCCTGGACCGTTCTCCAATTCTTTCCAGCAGCATTCGCAGCTCTGCATTCCCATCTCTATAACTTCTTTCTTACCATCGTTCCCACAGAATCATTTTTTTCCATATCTCTGATTGGCATAATTCCATAAATAATTAAGTTTTAATACTGCTGCATTTTGGAAATTATTCTCTTTACTATGTTCTAAGCAGGTCTTAAAGCAAAAGCTTTGCAAACTCAAAACAGCAGTGAAATAGTTAAACACAGAGGCCATCAGTCTCCTCTTCCTCCTCCTCCTCCTCCTCTGACTGAAATGCAGAATGAAGATCATATTTCTATCAAGGAAGGGAATTGAGCCTTTGGGCAGACCAGAATCTGGGCAAACCCCCACCCCACCGCACGGACTGAAGTGTGATCAGTGCAAAGGGAAGGCAGACACTGAGGGGGAGGCACAGTGAAAAAGAATGGCTGCATTCGCACAAGTTGCTTAATCAGGGCAATAAATAATCCCACAGCTGCTTTGCACAGACAATAGGTCACACTTACTGTTTTTTTTAAAAAATGGCAGGTTTGCCTGCTTATGTTCCACTAAGTTGGGGTCATCTCTTGGCAACCACATAGATTTCTTCTAGTATGATCAGTCCCCAATCTGGTCCTTCAGTTCTTCAAACATGCACCCATTGGCACTATAATCCATCCACCTGTTGCTGGCTGTCTTGATTATTTCTGCTTTTTCCAGAACCATGGACTTCTCAAAGGAGCAGATCTTTGCATAGGCCCAAAATATGTTGGTTTTGTATGGAAAAAATAACCAAGCAGTGCATTTGTGAGCAAATGAGCAAAACAATTAGAAACCAGCATGGGTTTTTCAAAAACAGGTCACGCCAGACAAATCTTAGTGCCTTATTTGACAAAGTGACTAGATTAGCAGATCAGGGAAATGCTGTAGACATAGTTTACCTAGATTTCAATATGGCACTGGAAAAAATAGCCTACTTCTTGGCAAAATAGAAGACTGTGGGAAAGGCAGCATCACTGCTAGATGGATTTGTAACTGACTGACCAGCTGCACTCAGTGGTAGTCTTCTATGGAACTACTTTTACCTAGAGAAAAGCATGCAGTGGAGCCCCTCAAAGTTCTGTCTTGGGCCCACTATTCAATTTCTTCATGAATGATATAGATGAAGCAGTGGTGAGATTCAATTTTTTTTACTACCGGTTCTGTGGGTGTGGCTTGGTGGGCGTGGCAGGAGAAGGATACTGTAAAATCTCCAATCAGAGGTGGTATTTGCCGGTTCTCCGAACTACTCAAAATTTCCGCTACCGGTTCTTCAGGACTGGTCAGAACCTCATCAAATTTGCAGATGACACCAAGCTAACACTGTAGAACAGGGATGTCAAACTCACGTTGTCACGGTGGTGTCACATGACATATGAGGACTTTTTTCCCCTTTGCTAAAGCAGGCATGGCCAGCCTGAGATACATCCGGCCTGCGGGCTGGGAATTTACAGTCCTGCTTTAGAAGAATATCTAACTCTTTGGAAGATAGACTCAAGATTCAGAAGGGCCTTGACTATTGGAACATTAGGCCCTATCCAACAAAATGTAATTCTGTGGTGAGAAAAGTAAGGTCTTATACAGAAGCAAGAAAAAAACAAATGCACAGGTATAGAATAGGTGATACCTGACTCAAAAGTAGCAACTGTGAAGGGGTTCTAGGTGTCCTAGTAGACAAACGCTTAAATGGCAGGTTTGCCTGCTTATTTTCCATTAAGATCCACTTAAATATCAGTCAGCAGTGTGCTATAGCCACCAAAAAAGCCAATGTAGTCCTAGGTTGCATCAATAGAGGGATAGTTTCACAATCTTGTGAAGTGACAGTACCACTTTATACTGCAACGGTGAGATCACATTTGGAATACTGCATTCAGTTCTGGTCCCCAAGATACAAAAACAACGATGAGGCCCTAGAAAGAGTACAGACAAGACCAACAAAGATGGTCAGGGAGGCCAAACCATATGATAAACAAGTGAGAGAACCAGGTATGTCTAGTCTAATGAAGAGAAGGACATGGGATGGTACGATAGCAGTCTTCTATTAGTTGAAAGGCTGTCGAGAGAAGAAAGGGTCAACCTATTCTTCAAAGCACCTGAGGGCAGGGCAAGAAGTAACGGGTGGTAGATCATCAAAGAGACAACCAACCTAGAATTAAGAAGAATTTTCATGATAGTAAAGAATCAGTGGGATAGTTTATCTCTAGAAATTGTGGGCACTCCATCCCTTGAAAACTAAGGTTTTCAAGAAGAGACCAGGCAACCATTATCCAAAATGGTTTAGGGTCTCATGCTTAAGCAAGGGGTTGGACTAGAATACCTCCATGTACCCTATTATTCTATGTTCCATGTCTTTCTCAGAGAATTCAGTTACCGTACGATACCCTGGTATTCTCTGTGCTGCTGCCTAGAAAAGACAGAATAGAATAAGAGTGTTGGAAGGGACCTTGTAGATCATCTAGTCCAACTCCATGCTCAAGCAGGAGATTCTGTACCATTTCTGATAGATAACTGTCAGTCTCTTCTTCAAAGCCTCCAGTGATGAAGCACCCACAACTTCTGACAGGCTCACTCTCAGAAAATTTCTCCTTATTTCTAGGTTCATCTCTCCTTGATCAGTTTCCATCCATTATTCCTTGCCTGGCCTTCTGGTGCGTTGACCCCTTCCTCCTCTCTGTGGCAGCCCCTCAAATATTGGAAGACTGCTGCTATTATGTCTCCCCTGGTCCTTCTCTTCACTAGACTACCCATGCCCAATTCCTGCAATCGTTCTTCATATGTTTTAATCTCCAGTTCCCTAATCATCCTGGTTGCTCTTCTCTACACTCTCTCTAGAATCTTTTTTATAGTCTGGTGAACAAAACTGGATGCAGTATTCTAGGTCTGATGGCCATTCTTCTGACATTTAGCCCATGGCTTCTCCACTTGTGTTCACAGGACTATACCATCACCATGTACTTCCAGCAAAGTTGGCAAGATAAACGTCTAGCATATAGTGATCTAGCTCTAAATCTCACCCTGGATAATCGGGTGGCTGACCAGCTGTGGCTCCCTGACACATATTTCCTAAATGACAAGAAGTCCTTCCTGCATGGGGTAACAGTCAAGAACCGGATGATCCGGCTTCACCCAGATGGGACTGTTCTTTATGGCTTGAGGTGAGTCCAAAACAGAGCATTCTGTCTGAATTCTACCCTTTGTTGTAGTGAAATGAGGAGAAAGCTGGCTTTTCCGTGATGTGTTTGTATTGAGATTGTATGTAACAATATGAATATATTTTCCCAGTAATTTAGAAAAATGATCTGGGTTTGAATTATTCGTATGGTTTCCAAGGTTACCTCCAGTAGCATTTCAAAAAGGCTTCTGATCTTAAGTCTAAATCTAGAAATAAAAAATTGCAGTTTTCTCGTAATCAGTGGCTTTGTAGCAATGCTGCAATAGTTTGTGACCAAAATGCATGTGTTTCACATTGACGTCTAAATGATTATTTCAGTTTGCACAGGACAATTGAAGTTCAGCTGCCTTGAATAAATTATGGCTTAAACCAAGCTAAGGGATTCCTTTCCATTTGCCATTTCTGGCTTGAAATAATGTGTGATCTCCACACAAGGGGGATAATTGAGTGCAGTTTGTGTGTGGCTTTTAACAATCCATAAGAAGTATTCAGTCCAGATTGAATTCCTTTATAGCACAGAATTGTTTAGAAGCTATGCTATGGTCACCAGAGAGGGGTAGAGTCCACCTGACCCATGCTAGAGGAAGATATTTGTTAGAGGAGGCTATATCACTAAGGATAAGAGTGGTGGAAAGTTACCAGTGAGTCTGGACTGTACTAAAATCTGAGGTCATGTGATCACGCAAAGCTGAAAGTAAAACAAAGGTAGCTATCTGACCCAGCCATGAAGGAAACAGGCAGTATAGTCCAGCGCTGAAAATGGCAAAAATACAAGGGTAATTAAGAAAAGGCAGAAGTAATCAACTCCTTCCATTTGGGCTTCATATTTTTTGAGGAGGGGATATGCATCCCAGCAGGCTGTTGGGAAGAAGACGTGAGGGCATATATGGCTATGCCAATATAGGATATGCAGGGAAAGTGTCAAAGAACAAGAGTGGATCACTAACTCTGTATGAATCAGCAACAAGTGACGTGGCTCCTAAAATGCTAACTTCTCTATCATTTGGGGCTAATACACAGCTGCGTATCTCCATTCTGGGTGAAGCGAGTGATGCAATGGGTGCCCTTTCGCAGTGCCTGGAGGCTGTGGGGGTCTGCATGGGGAACAACTGACTTCAGTTGAACTCTGGATAGAGTGGCTGTGGGTTGGGCCCTCTGTGTCCAGGCCAGGGGTTTACTATCTTTGGTCCTGGATGGGTCATGTGTGGCCATGGCCAGGAGGGCCTTTGCGCCTTGTGTACCACTTATGCCGCTTCCTGGGCGGGCGGGGGCGGCTTCTGCTCGGTACGTATGCACAAGTCATTTCCCAGCTGTGCTCTACATGGGGCTACACTCAGAAAGAACCTTGAACTGGTGCAGAATGCAGCCATGTGAGCTATACTGGGTGCCCAGAGTATAACTGGGTGCCCAAAGGTATAATACTTCTGCTCCGTGAACTGCACCGGGTGCCAGTTTGCTTCTGTGTCTCATTCAAGGTGTTGATTATTACCTACTAAGCCTTACATGGCATTGAGCCAGGTTGCTTGTGGAACCGGCTTCATGCCATCACATCAGTCTATCCCACTCATTCAGGCAGGGCAGGCAGTCTTCAGGCTCCATCAGTCAAAGAATTTCCACTTCTGCCACCACTGCTGCATGGTGGAACATCTTCTTACCCCCACCCCCACCCCAGAGATGAGGCAAGTCCCCAGCCTTTTGGTCTTCCACAGAGGGAGCAGAGCCCACACAACCATGGGTCTGGTTGGCCCTATGGGAAACAGCCCCCCTCCACACTCCTACCCTACTCATCTTGGTTTTCTCCATCTTTTGTAATCTTATAATGTTTTATATTTTTAAATCTTAAATTGTTCCGTTTTAATGCTTAATTTTATTAATTAAATTGTACACCACCCAGAATGCCTATCTGAGGCAGATGGTGGTTAAGAAATATAAACAAACAAACTATAGCTTCCCCTATCAGGCAAGATCATAGTTCTGCATTTGCCAGCTTCTACCTCAAGTACTCTGTGTCCAATTCTGGGCATCACACTTTTAAGAAAGAGGAAGAGAAACTGAAATGAACGGGATGATCAGGGAACCAGGAACTATATTCAAAGAAAAGAGAGTGGCCCTACACAAGGGGGTCCCCCAAGGCAGGTCTGGAAGGAGGTCATGCAGCAGGAGGTCAATGCTTAATCCCCATGGTCCCCAAATTCAGGGCAGGGAGAGTTTGCTTGCAACAGCAGTTTGGAGAGGGGGGGTCTTACCGTCTTTTTCTGACAATGTTCACACGGAAACTTTGCTTTAATGTCCAAAAGATGTGCATTTAAATAGGGAAACACATTTAATGGTGTTACCTTCTTTTGAATACAGTTATATTTGTTATCACTCCCACTTGTGAACTTTTTACAATATTGTGTACATTTCAAAACCATTTCTCCTTAATCCAGGACAGACACAAGAGTCTTCCTATTGTTTGCTGCTTGTCTGGCCTTGTCTGGCCCAGAGGATGAGGACCCCAACCTGCAATACAGAGGGTTGCGTGACCGCAGACTGAGCACACCTAATGCCTTGCTTCCAGTGAAAACCCTCTGAATCAGCAAGCGTGACCTCACCAACCCTAAAATGCTAGGAATTGGTGATTCTCAAAATGGTGGCTTCTCTGTCCCTCTCAGAGAGCCAAGAGCTCTCTTGAATTACAAGGAAGACCCTCAGGCTCTTTTCCTCTATATCTCCACATAGAGCACCAGTCAGTTCGTGACTCTTGTGAAGGGCTAACCCTTTCTAGAAGGGGTGCTTTAAGACCAGCTTCTGCCTCAGGGAGTTGCTTACTTACCGCTGGCAGCCAGTCCATTCCTGGGAGCTGCAGTTAGCCTTTGCTTAGCCCCTCCCGGGAGGAAATGCTCCCAGCTATGTGTTGAACAGACCCCACCCGCCCCCAGACTTTGGCAAGTGATCCCGATTTACCTGAGGGTATGCTTTTCCTAAGTTCCCCCATTCCTTTGTACCTTTTTATAGGGCATGAGACAGCAGCAGAGGCACCCTCAAGGCTTCCAACTATAGAGAGACAAAATTATCAGGTCATTGCTGGTTATCTCTCTGCCTCCATCTTCCTGATTTTCCCTTTGCATCTTCATGGTCTACATTCTCCTGCTGGTTGCAGTCACCTCGTTGTCTTCTTTCTCGCTCCATGTTCCTGGAAAAGCAAGCGTTCCCTTTAAATGGAGGACGTGTTGCTCGAGGAGTGCCTTAAGCTCAGCCTCTGAACTGCACCCATTCTGAGACATTTGCCAGGGGCTGCTGAGAATCCTGCTTTTGGGAAATTGAGCCTTGACAATCAAACTGGAGCTCCAGCCAGACATAGCACACAGACCTCACACAGGGCTTTACACAATTGCCCTTGGATGCTGATTTTGACTCCCAGGATGTGGGAGGGAGCTGGCTCCTCCAGTTGAGGCAATGTTCTGACCCAGGCTTTGTTCCAATTAAGAAAACACATTCTGTGTGTAAAAGCAAACCTTTTTAATGCAATGCTGGGAATTATTTGCATTCCCAGCCAAAACTCATTAAATACAATTGTCTGAGATAGGAGCACGCCTTTCAGGGTTGTAAAAGGCTGTCAAAAAACAGACATCCACTTAATTAGCAGATAAACCAACAGAAGTTCCAGCAAAGATAAACCAGAGTCCACAGGGCTTCGAAGAGGAATCAGAATCTTATGAACTTCTTTGCTTCCTGCAAAGAGTACATCACTGAGGGCAGGTTTTTATCCCTTATGGGAGGGGCAATCACCTCCCAGCCTTACTCCCAAGTCGCCCCTGCTGCTTCAGCTGCTTTCTCCTTCTAGCAGCCCTGCACACACGCGCACTGGGAACAGGCTCCCTGGGGTCCTCTGCTTCACTGCTACCAGACCCCAAAGGCTCCGAAGGCAGCACCCCAGTCTTAGATAGTTCTGGCCCCATCCCTGCATCAATTGCAGGACCCTCATCCAAGTCCTCGCCAGACTCCCTGATTGGTCCCCTTTCGTCTTCACTATCCAATACCTCTGCTGTCTGCACCGGCTGCCAGTGAACCACAACAGGCAAGGGGCATAGGATTCCAGCCATTGCAACTAGAAACACAATCATCTAAGGATGAAAGCAACTCTTCACCGGCCAGATCAACATGAATGATAGAGTGAGGCTTCATGCAGATTTTTCAGAGCTACAGAATAAATTTCCAGGTACTTTTGTTCTTGAAAAAAGTGGAAACATCTCTTAGAAGGTTGTGATCAGCAGAGCCAGTTAAGAGTTTCTTTTGCATTGATGATGTTCCTTAGTTGGGTAATGCAATGTCTGCAAGAAAACAACCATGTTTGGAGAGCACCAAAGACCCCCCACGGTTCAACCATCAAATATTCTCTTCTATTGGTTCCATTTCTTGTTATGAAATAGCTGTTTGTACTGACCTCTCTATGCAGTAATAAAAGATTACGAGTAGAATCCATAGGAGGCTCTTCCTTTAAAAAAAAAAAGCATGGTCAAAGCTCCCTTGGCTTCAGGACAATTTTAACTTGTACCAATTGAGTTCTGTAGAAAAGCTTGGAGAACATCACTGCTAAGTATGTACTGCAAACCTGGGCTACCTCTATTGCAAGACATCTACAAAAACTAATATGTGAAAAGCCTGGTGGTTTTCTGGGTGGTAGTTGATCAAAGAGCAAGGCAGTAAGACTAGGAACAAACTCACTCTGAAATGCCTCCCCAACCACAGTTTGCTGTCTCAGCCCCATCTGACTCCTGCTCAAAAACTAATATGTGGCACAGACAGAACCAGCCACAGTTACCAAGTTGAAATTTCCATGTCTTCTGTGCTGGTAGTAATAAAAATGGAAATATTCAGGATCAATGCACAAAGTGCTATTCTTCCAGACAAGCAATAGCTCTTCTGAAGAAGATACCTCTGTGTGCGGATTCATGCAACTGAGCCAAGACTTTAGTTCCAGAAGTCTTCTTGTGCTACTTATCAGAACTATAAGTGTTAGACAACCTATGAATGCAACAGAAGGGTTACTCTGAACTGCCATTCATCATTAGCCATCTTTATAAGCACCAGATTTGTTTTATCTGGATTTAGCTTGAACAAGTCTGATTCTACTTAGGTGACATCAGTTCAGGCTGGAGGCAGTTGCTCCACTGCTTTTTGGATAATGCCTATTTTAAAATGCCTATTAAAGCCATGGTGATGATAATAATACTGAAGGACCCACTGCATAGCTCCCAAGATCACATAACTTCATCACTGATCTGCTCAATGAACACATGCACTCTTGTGCACTCACCCACTAATTCATTGGAACTTTCTCTATGAAGTATATGCCGCCTGTTTTTAAACTCTGGGGCAGAGTTTAAAAACTATACCCACAAGAAGGAATTCTTCTGATCACTTTTCAAAGGAACATCATTCAGCCAGGTAAACAAGCCACCTCCATCTCATAGTCACTACAAGAATCAGGTTGGAAAGGGCAAAGGCAAGAAATAAAAGGGAGGGAGGACATTTTTTTCTAAAAGAAAATGAAACTGATGCATCAGTAATGGTTTCTTTAGCACCATTTCAAGGTACCATTTCTATCTCCGTTGTCGCAATGAAGCAGGTGGGGCCAAAGCTTCTTGGTTACCCCAGATAAATCATTCAGACTTCCCAGAGCAGTCAGTTCCCAGCATCGTGTCACAGCTCTTGGAGACAGGGAAGAATAACTAAGAAGTTGGTGCTGTCCAAACAACCTCCTCACTTGCTCACAGCACAGCCTGAGGGCAGTCCTGAGAAGTGACTTGCACCAGAGTAACCCCAACGCTCCATCCTCCATCAGGATAATGTGGGAGCTTCATCCCTGGAAACTTTCAAGAAGAGACTGGACTGCCATCTGTCAAAAATGCTGTAGGGTCTATCTTGCCCCAGGCAATATTTATCTTCCCAAAATACCTAGGATAAGCAGCTAAACACTACAAAGGCTTCCATGCAAAGTTTCTTTATTGGATTATATTAGGCATCCTCAAGGTATAACTCACAGTTATGCTGAGATTCATCTAATGTCCAATCTTTGCATTGTCATCTTCATAGTGTGAAAAGATAGTTATCTTCATCACATAACGAGACAGCAAGGGAAGACTCCAGCATGATGTTGGGTCCAGGCAAGAATGACCAAAACTCCCCCCAGCCCAACCAGCGGTCAATTCCAATGACCAATCAGGATTACAGATGTGACCATATGACATGAACTACATCTCCCATGAGGCATTAACTACCTTTCCCATGAAGCATTAACTACATTTCCCATGAGGTATTCCCTTAAGGGGACAGCTCCCATTCCCAAACTAAATATGCTGTCTAACCAGCACATTATATACTGTTTAACCAGCACAGGTCTGCTTCGGCAGGGGAGGTTGGACTAGATCAGGGATCGGCAACCTTTTGGACCTCAGGGACCACCAAACTCATAATTTTAGATCCCAGGGACCACTAACCGGTTCTGTGGGCATGGCCTAATTTGTGGGTGTGGCTTGGTGGTCATGTGACTGGCTGGGCATGGCTTGTATGTAAATATTATAAATATTTATATAAATATTGATTATTTTATAAAAAAGAGCAACTTTTACCCAAAATCAGGCAAAGCAGGCAGATTGAGT